GTCATAGCAACATATTGAGGAAGAAGCCACAGAATGTGCACCGAATTTGGTGGAGTCACTATTGAGAGACCTATTTTTGTCATATTCGCACCGACAAATGTTTGCAGAGTATAAACACCACCAAGTTTTATGGATATTGAACCAACATCTTTCCCATTAACTTTGACATTGTATTCTCCTGGGATGAATTCTCCGACTGGTGTTACTCGTTCAAGATCTGACGCACTTTCAAAAACGTAATTCACTCCTGATAATTCAACCTTTGTTGAGGTGTTCGGGTTCTGGACATTGTACGTCAACACTCGAATTGCGGGATTCCCACTCTTCGTTTTGTTAATGTAGTCCTTATAGGCGTATGGAGATGTTGACTCCAGTACATATGAAGTCGCCTGTCCCTCTACAGCCGTAATGAAGCCATTTACGTTTTTATCTCCACCGCAGTATGAAAAATCAGCAACGTATGGTATCGATTGATTGCCTTTGATATTGATATTACTGCCTCCCCACATAGCGAATGGTTCCATCACTATAGATTCATTACCTATTACAACAGGTAATTGGCAATCCCTAGGGTTGAAAATTCGCAACTGTGCTGATCCGTTCGTTGGAAGAACTGGATACGTCGTCTAGAGGACAATTTCGTTGGTAAATGTTCATTGATATCTCATGAAAAATTATCATTCGAAAGAGTATTGGTACCTCTAATCGCAATTCCACAAGCGCGGCAAAAATAAATGCAACTGCACCTAGAATTCCACCGGTTGTCAATTTTTGCAATGGCGTGTGAAGGCATTTGATCTTTGCCATTACCGGGTAAACGAAGGTATTCAAAAGAGGAACGAAGATGAGGATGAGAAGAGGATCGACGATTTGCATCTGATCAGCCTTAAGAAGAAAACTGCCAATTTCGCCGTTCATTCTTGTTGCTTGGAAGGTCCAACGGGATCCTACTTGTGTTGCAAGCGCCCAAAAAAATGGAAAAGCTACGAACAGTTTCAGAGTTCGTGAAGTTTTTTTTATATCATTAATCAGTTTGGAATCATACTTGTCGTTCGCGTAATCCAGCCAGTGTTCTCGGTCAACTCCTCGATTTGATTTCAATCTTCTGTGAATTGCATACTTTTTGAAAAAAAAAAAGGAATAACTGTGATTAGTAGGGGAGAGTGGGACAAAATTAGACTACGGAATAAAATGAAATCTTCCACTTCAATTGACATTTTCATCGAATTTGGGTTAAATCGCCCAAGGGGATGGTAGTACTTGAACTATATATTGAAAATCGAATCCTTCATTTACGAAAAGTTGAACAATTTGAATTTTTTCACCAAGATTACATCAAACATATCTAAAGGAAGAGTTTGTGGATGTGCATTCCGCTTCGACACCATCCTGATTTCTTCTCACATTAAACCTTTACGATTGTTTGATCTTCATTTTTGTGATGCAGTATGCATGATGATGATGATGATGTCTAGTCAGTGTAAATCCACATTTCTAAATTTTTTTACAATCACGGATTTTACAGTTACTATATGAAATTTTATTTTGCCATATTTTATTTTACCAAACCCCTCCCCCCATGCCATTCAACTGGAAATTTTATGAAAAAAAGGGTTATACAATAGGACCTAGCAGTTCCAATACTTTTTGGAACGCATGACCTAACTGTTTGGATAATTCCCCACCTGAGATTGAACACCGTCATGAGACTGGACCAGCTACCACTCTCAACTTAAAAACGAACATCGATAAGAAAATTATTAATAATATAATTTATTAAACAAAGTATTCGCGTATTCTAACGCATATAAATATTTAAATGAACAATAAATATTAAAGATTTATCTGAGCAATATGAGACCTATCAAGCACTGTTTTGGAAAATAATCGGACGATAACGGCCACAAACTCATAATTTTCTCAAACTCCGAACTCTATCTACCAGTCAATCGGAATTTAACGGGCAAAGACGGAAACATCATTAACGCCGATTCATTTTTTATCACCCAGTCAGAAATAATCGGACTGTTTTACCAGGGATATGCATCAACTTTGGTCATGTACGGACATTAGGTTACGCTCATGTCTCAAAGTTTTTTTTTATCGTTATTTTACATCGCTTCGACCCGGTTAGGGTATACTGCGATGATGATCAAGACTTTAAATGGTTAGATCGCACCATTCTACCCGGCCGGGATTTGAACTCGGAACCTTTCGCATGTGAGGCAACAAACTTACCCCCTGCGTCAAGCCACCGGGCTTGTCTCAAAGTTGGGTAATTAATTACAGAAGGGGTAAGAGGGCAGTTCGTAATATGCGAACATCTAGAGCGAAAATATGTAAACAGCTAGGTCCTACGGGTTTTGCCAGTGTGCGAACTGCTAGGTTCAGCTGTATGAGGATCTCATTTCGTTCGCTTTCCTCTAGCATACATATCAATTCTGACGATTGATTCTCCAAACCCACCGATATGCATTTGGCAACATCTAGAACAATATTTCCTTCAGGTTTCTTTATAATGTACAGCGGTTTCCCAACGAGGAATATCGCTGAAAGTAAGACATAAAGTTTGTTCATTGATCGCTATCACATGGCCATCCACAATCTTTGACTTACCAATGGCCACAATCATGAGAATGGCAGGAACGAAAAAGGCGATTGAGTAGCATTCTTGTTCTCCAAAACATTTAATGCCATTACGCAATTCTGGGGTGAGGAATGATGAGAGGATGGATCCAGCGTTTATGGTGATATAAAATACTGAGAAAAACGTGAGGAGATATTTTTCCTGTTCGGGAAGAACGAATTGGTCCCCACCTAGGGCCGAAACACACGGTTTTATTCCACCTGTACCGAGACCAATCAAGAACAATCCAATCATTGAAAATTCTCTGAAAGTTAATTGATTGGAAATTATTTTAATTCTTTTCGGGCATGTTTAGGTCAGCAGCAGTAATCAAACACAAAATAATAATTAATTGATTAATTACTAATTGTAGTAGGGGAGGGTGGGGCAAAACAGCCCCCCTTCAATTGTCAATAACTTGTGAATGACATTGTGAAAATTCCCAGTTTCAACTTCATTTTCAAGATAATTTTTCATTCTTCAAAACGAGCTCCAACTCATCCCAATCGGATTATTGAATCGGAAAATATTGACGATTGAAGGGGGGCCGTTTTGCCCCATCCTCCCCTAGTAAATCAAAGTTATAATAATTTTTAAAAAATAATTATTAATTATTAATAATATTAATATATATATTAATACAGATTATTATTAATAATTATAGCAATTAATCAATTAATTATTATTAATTTTTGATTTGGTTAATTGATTGGATTTACTATCTGTCAACAAGGTGTGAGATATTCTCTGCAAGATCCACAAAATTCAGATAATGTCTTACCTCATTGGTACTCCGAGAGTTGGGACAGCGCTGGCTGTGAGAAAAATTTGACCCACGGCATAAACGATACTCAAATAGAGAATGGTTCTGAATTTTCCAAGTAATGCATCAGCCAGAATAGCACCAAACAATGGGAAGAAGTATCCGAGCATCATAAAAATATGGTAAATTACGGTGGCTGTGTCATCACTGTAGTTTAATTTGTTCTTAACGTACAAAGATAGGATTACTGCGGAAATAAATCATCAATGAAAGGTTCCGAGTTACAATTATGTGGACTCAAATTACGATGGATGACTGCCTGGCCTGCAACTTACTTCGCATTCCATAGAAGGAGAACCTCTCGCAAAATTCCATGCAGATAATGAAGAAAATGGCCTTTGGATACTTCAGTTCCTACAATCAATGGAATATCCGTGAATGAAGATAGATTAAGGGGATTCCCCCATCGTGTTTTTGAATATGGGGAATATCGCGCCAACGAAAACTATTATAATTCCCTAGAATCAAGACGACAGTCCCTAGTAATTCCCGAGTGGCGCTCTAATTCCGTTGCAGACATAAGAATGAACTTTAAGGTATTTATGGCGTAGTCAGGGAAGGTCGAAAAAAAGTCAAGAAATGGATGATTTTGTTTTATATACTAGATCAGTCCGTGCGCTTTGGGCGCGTATGTCCTAATCCATCGGGCTTAATGTATGTCAGTTGTAGTGAATAATCTTATATTAAATTTCTGAAGTTGATATCAAAGTTTCCGAAGGAAAAGTTTCAGGAATGTATTCCATTTTTAAAAATATATAATACATCCAGTGTGACTTTTTTTGAAGCCAATCTACTCTTCGTATTGTGTTATTAAATTTTTTATAAATGATGATAGCACACATTAAAGATATTATGATAGTACTCTATCATATTATATTATATTCTATGCTATACTATATTATGTATACTAAGTATAATAGACAATACATAATAGAGTACTATATGTATTATAGAATATTAAGTACACTAAAAAAATTAAATAGTAAACTTATAACAATAATAACATACATTGAGTATACAATATAATATAATAAAAATGGTATGGTAATATCTTTAATGTGTGCTATCATCATTTATAAAAAATCTAACGACAATACGCCGAATAGATTGACTTCAAAAAACGTTAGACTGAATTTTTTATTAAAGGATTCTTTGATTTTTTCTAAAACCCTTATGTAAAATCCGAGACAGCGTAGAAGAATGGGTAAAACACAGGAATTTTTCTAAAAAATGCATTTTAACGGGCTCTTATGGGAATTCGGAAAAAAAATATTGAAAATAGTAAAAAAGTCGCCATTTGTCTGAAATTTTACACTTTGCTGTAGCTTTCATGGAGGAATATAAAAATAAATAATCCAAGTGGCGTAGGAGAATAGTTTAGAGGAAATCATTCCAAAACCATAACAAATCTCTTATATCCTGTCTTCTTTCGATTTGCCTTTCTTCGCATTGGGAAGTTTATCGGAAAAATTGAATTGTCAATTTATCGGTGTATTGAATTTGTCGATATACATTTCTCATAGTGACATTGTACGGATTCCACTTAACGACAAAAATAGGTCAAACCCATTCGCAAGGCTACTCGGCGATACAAAAATTCCATGCAATCTGAAAATTTATAAAAATGTTTCCTGATAAGTGCAACCGATTAGATTGAATAGACATCTAAAGGGCCTTCATTGTGGGTCAGTAGAAAGATCTTCACTCGATTCGCAGATCTCAAGGTGAAGATAGTCGTCCAAAGCTCACTTTAAACGTTGATCCAAATACCCGATGCCCTTTATTTGTATTTGCACCGAGTAGACTTTATTGATACGCAACAAGATCAGTTGTCTACAAAGATCAGTATCTATTGTGTTCCGCTAGATAATTTTTGCTACCGAAAAAGATTGAAGAGCAGTACGGAAAAATCATGGAATTTTTTTCACGTCAATTCGTGATTTCAATCATAACATGATTCCATCCTGATATCGTTCCTATCATGTCATATCATCATCAAATACATCTCTTTAATAATATTAGACTTTCATCCAATAATTGCATAATTGCAATCAAGTAAGTGAAATCAACATTTCACTGAGAGAAAAAATTAGTTGTGCCGAAAAATTATATGATCACCTGAAGAGATTTTTTGCTGTGTTGAATCAATTTACTTGTGGACAAAAAAAAGTTTCCACCAAAACATGATAATTTTCGCAGTAGTAATTGTTCTCGTGAGACATTTATACGTCTTCCGGGTAAATACATTCGTTCTACAGAGAATTATGAGGCTCCGTTTTTATCGAGTCAATGTTATTCAGTAGTGCATATCTATGGCTAATAAACACTTGTAATTTCCATGGAACAAATGATAAATTCAAGGGGAGACCACAATTTTCTTGCCGATAACTGTGTTATTGGCAAAACTAAATAATTTCGAGGGGACAATTTTTTTGGGAAAAATATTCTTTCCTCGTCAATGTATTCTTTCTGGGGTGTAAACCTATGGAGTTCTCTCAGATCAAATGATTGTCGTACAAAAGATTATATTCTTTCCTGCCAACAGTTCGAATTCTTCTAGGGATATTTCTGATGACCGCGTCAAAAATTAAATTTTTGTGAAAGATATTAAATTTCCTTCTGTCAAGTTGGTTAATTTCCCTAAAGTAAATCCGTTTCAGATAGTTTTTCGGCTGAGCTATTTTTTTCCCTCAGTATTGACGGTGAATGTCTGGAGTCCAGATAGTACATACCTTCACTCTTTTCGGGTTTTCTGCTTCACGAACCATTTCACCGTTATACTTATTCCAATCACAATTGAGTAGTTAGTCCGATCAGACGCAGATACTTGAGTAACTTGCATTCGTGCTACTGTGTACGCCGTTTATCTCCGCCACATGCACCAGACTTATAGTAAAATAATCCCACTAATCTCTTTGTCATCAGTTCAGAAACTGTCAATCTCGGAGGCGTTATCGGGATTTTTAAAGCGCTAGTAAATGGCAAGAAAATACGGAAATGCAATGCAAAAATCGCATTGCATTCCCCACGGCAAAAAAGCATGCACTGCTAAAAATTTTCGTCTTTTTAATTTCCACTGATAGTTCTGGAAATCCCGTGAAAATAATTCCGCTCTTACATGGGAAGAAAAATTCAATAAAAATTACCAGAAAAAAACGTAAAAATTACGTTTCGAAACGTAATCCACGAGCGAAGTGAAGTAAAATTCACCACGTAAATTCTACGATTTGTTCCGTAAAAATTAACCACCCTTTTAACGTGTTGACTCACCGCTGTGGAGACAACAAGTCGTTTCGTAGTTTTTCTCCAACGATTGAGAAATTTTACGGAATGGAACGTAGAAATAACTCACCAGCTTCATAAAAATTGTTGAACGTTCAAGAATTTTTTATTTTGGAGGCCTAATAAGTCGGGAAGTTTCTGTAAGATTTTACTTCTTCAGGAAAAATTACGTGACAATTTCGTACTTTGTTCGGTGATAAACCTGAAAATTCACTGCACGTTTCAGATTTCTTCTCTTCCCTTCCTATAAAAATTACCGCAATTAAAACGATTCCCCATTGCGGATTACGTGAATTGTTCCGTAATTTTTACTGAATATTATTTCTCTCCGTGTACTCTATGTACTTTTAAGATTTGGTAGTGGCACATCCTGTATCTCCACGTTAATGAGAAAAAAAAAGAATGAACACAGCGTAATGTTTATTCCATAAAACTTTTGCTAACATTTGCTGACATTTATTTCTTTATGCTTCTTTTTGTTTACATTTTTTAAATTGCAATAATTTTAACGACCTCCCTTAAAAATTGTACATTTTTTAACTTGAACCATTGTACCTCTTCACTTAATCATTGGGTGATCAAAATTTTTATGGTCTTCAAGATGCGCCGTCCAAATTTGCTCGCTTCTTTCCTCTGCCGAAGACATTCCGGGCTCAGTTTGGTTTCCGTTTAGTTCCTCCTTCCGACCCCAACAGAGTTCAACGATCTTGAATTATAGAAAATTAATAACAGAATAATGCATTTTTTATTTTCCATCGATTAAGGGTATTATGACGGGGTCCGCAAAGAGAAAGAATGGAATGAAAAATTTCAGCACATTATTTCAACGATTGAAAAACCGGCTGGAAAAAAAGGAAAAAAATTCTGATGTTAAGAAACGAGGGATAGTAGTTTGTCGTTTCAGCTATTCAATAATGACAGACAAAAAATGAATTCTTAACCCTTGATCACTCGCGCTCGGTCGCCAGTCTTCATTCGTCACACGGTTAGCGCAGCGCCGCTGAGTTAAACAGGGAAAAATTTGTTTTCAATGATTACAAATGTTCAGTAATCACTTGCGTAATCAATGTAATCATTTGTAATCATGTAATCACTGCTTTTGGAACTCATAATCATTTGGTAATCATTCAATGTAATCAGGGCCGTAATCACGTGAAATTGATTACATTTCGTAATCATGGGTCACTCGATTCGATTGTGAATAGCCCCTCGATTATTAGACAGCCGAAACGAAAAACTACCATCCCTTGTTCCGCATAAAACAAAGATTTTTCGGGAGCGTATGGGAGTATCGAATAACGAAAGAATAGAGTGTGAAATGACATTTCTTGCGTGTACAGAGAATGCAATTTTTTTTTAACTACTAAATCTATTTTTGCGACAAAAAATTTTCATTCCGGCGCACTCTCTGCATGTTTGGCGCAAAAAAAAATTATTTTTTGATAATTTTCAAAAAACTATTTTCTTGGCACAAATCAGACTTGTTTGAGAACTTTGTCGTTTTTCTCTCAGTGTAAAAACACTGCCGTCATCTTGAATAATTGCAATCTTCGACTATTTTCTCAAAGGGGCTACATGAGGGGAAAAAGAAATGGACAACGCCAACGCTTCACTACTAAGTCTAATATTTTCGAAATTTTTTAGTGTCGAGAAACAAGCTCAATTATTTAAAAAAATGAAAACGGGCGGCGCCGCGCTCATTGAGCGAGTGATCGAGGGTTAAATGAAATAATAATAATAATGACAGCAATCTTGTAACTTAGGGACAAAATATTTATTGTCCAAGCTTCCTCTATAAAAGATATTTTTATCCTGAAAAGGGACCGTCTTGTAAAAATGAGCCGCCTCTTGAGCCAAATATTTCGTTGTTGTTGAAAGCAGAGCAATTGTTTGGGTTTGAGACTTTCAAATTCAAACTAAACAATTATTTTTTTTTTGTAATTTTGGACTAACGATTTTGTTGGCGTAAACAAGACTTGTTCGTTTTTCTCTTCGTGTATCCCCTCTCAGTGTAACTTTAGAAATGATTTCCGTCGTTATTGTCGACATGGGGTTATTGAAATTTTGCACACGATTCTTCAAAGGATTGAATAATGTCTTGAAAAAATTTCATTTATTGTTGACCTTACCTCACATGCAGCAAGAATATGTTCATTATAGCACCAATATATTACCGGTGTGTTGCAGCTTGGCAAAATATTCTGAAATGAAATGGACAACAGAATAAAAATGAAGAAAACTGACTTGATAATTCCGTCATCATTCAATTATCAAAAGTGATTTTAAATATTTTTCAGTAATGATTATTAATAAATAACTCACTCTTCCCGATGTAAGTGGTAATGTAAATGCCGCACTAACAGCTAAAACCGCAAATAGAGGAGGCATTTCGTAACACGTCGAGGAAATTCTCTACAATGCCAAAGGCTTTCGATATTACTTAGTAGGCAAATCGATTTTTTTTGTGACGTGGTGCAACCACCTTGAACAATTCGATTGAGATCGTTAAATACCTAAACGCTACCGACAAACGGCGGCTTTAAGGTTTCAGACATATGTACAACCGAATTTGGGTGTGTGTACTTTGCGTGTACGTGAGTAATCTTATCGGATTTTGAACTATCTGATTCAACATGCCGTTAGTGAAACATAAATTCTATTCTCTGTCTATCGAAAATATTGAAACGAGCATGATAATGGTCAACTGGCATACTGATAATGATCAACGAAAATCCATTATCAAAAATCCAATATTGATCATTTTTTGATATTCACACGAGGCCGAGGTCGATCGAAAAATTAAGGCAACGAACTAAAATCAAAATTGACGGAGGAAAACTCGGTAAATTTATCCTTCTCAGCGTACTTTTTCTGCGAAAATTCACAAATATTACTGCTATTAAAATTACTTTAGAATTCAATAAAATCTCTGGAATTGAGGGGAAATATTTATCTTCAATCCATTAGGAAGAGCAAATAAATCAAAGACTTTTCAAATATGAGAGGGGCTATATATAGCCCCTCATATAGCCCCTCTGAGAACATAGTGGTAGATTGCAATCATTCGAGATAATGGCAGTGTTTCCAGGACGAACAAACGACGAACAAACGATTTTTTAGGAGGAAAAAATAAAACAGACTTTTCATACGTAAGAGGGGCTATATATAGCCCCTCATATAATCCTTTTGAGAAAATAGTGGTAGGTTGCAATTATTCAAGATAATGGCAGTGTTTTCAAGACGAACAAATGACGAACAAACGATTCTTTAGGAGGAAAAAAAAGACTTTTTATATGTAAGGAGGGTTACATGAGGGCCTATCCTCATATAGCCTCATGTCGATTATCATGCGTCGATTATCATTATCAATTACAGTCTATTATCATGCGTGGGCAATGGTGAATCTCTTCTAGTCATTACCAATCGTTGATAATCAACCTACCGCTAGTACTCCATCGACTGCTGATAATTTGGTCGTGTTTATTCATTAATAATCAATTCACTAATAGTGCATTTAAGTAACTGGTGACGAATTGTTCTCAAGAAATTACAATGTTCAAAGAGGAACGAAGATTTTTCGTTTGTTGGCAAATGGCGGTTGTTGAATTTGTTGATAAAATAGACAGTGAAGATTCCATAACATACACTGTTAAAAATTTTCGCCTGAATTTTTCGTGTCAAATTCTAAAAATTTTATTGTGTTCATGTTCCACTGAAATTTCAGGAAATGTTGTCATTGAAAAATCAAATATTCCATTGATTTTCTGTTTAAATGATATGGAAGTCAGTAAAATACTTGATTTTTTAGTTGAATTATTCTGTGAAAATTCAGAAAAATCCGGAAAATTCAGGGAAAAATGGAAAATTCATGTCATTTTGTTTCTGAATATTCATATTCCACTGAAAATTCAATCAATTTGTGAAATTTCTGTTTACTCCCACGGAAAACTTATGAATTTCCGTGAATTCTACTTAAAACTTGAAATTTCATAACCATTTTTTCCCTAAATTCGATTCAATGTCACTCTCATGAGATTTACTATAATATCTTCCATGAGATTTGAAAAAATTGCCAACAGTATCAAATTTGATTCTATCATCGTAAAGATTAAGACATATTTCTCTCCGTCCGGAATCTCCATGCAGCGCCAGCTACTTGACTTGTCTCGATGGAATAGACTCAATGATTTATGCTTTTGTGTTGAAACCAATTTTTTATTATAAATCAAAAAATAGAACAGACAAAATGTAAAAAACAACTGGGACATTGCTTTCGTCACAACATAGTCAATATATGTTTGCTAATAAATCATTAATTGCCTTCCGAATCGAATTGCTATGATGATTTTATTTTAAATTGAATTCAATGATTCAGTGAATTTCAGGTTGCTCCAACGTTGACAGCCTACATTACCCCAACGTTGCTAGCCAACATTGCTGCAACGTTAAAAGCATTTTCGAACTCCCGAGGCCAAAATTAGTTAGCCTGGTACCAAAAATCAAGATTAATATTAATAATCATACTTCTTCAAATAGCAACAAATTTGCTATAA